TTTTTTTCATTTCTCTGCTGAGGTCTGTTTGAGGACACAAAGGTTGAAAAAAAAAAGAAAACAGCAAAAAAGAAAAAAAGAAAAAGAGCAGGATAAAAATAAAATAAAAAAAAACGACGAAGCCATGTGAGCTCTCTCCGTCCGCAGTTGGATTTAGTGTCACCGGAACACCACTGGAATGCAACTCTGCATGACCGCCAGAGGACGAGAGTGAATCTTCCCCCCTTTTTTCCCTTCCCTTCATTTAGAGTAAAAACTCCATGGCCTCCTCTTTTTTCCTTATTTTTAATCTACCAACGACAGATCATGAACCGTTCAATTCTATTTCGAGAGGCTAAAGACTGATGCGCCCAGTAGAGTAGACGGTGGCACTCGCTGCTTTTCAGGAAGGAGGCGGCGACACCCAGTCGTCCCACCAGAACAGCACATCTTTCTGCTAGCGTACACCTGACGCATCAGTGCTTCCGCAGATCGCCAGGGGACATCCCTCTTGTCTGTGCAGTTGCGATATCTATATACCGATATCGTCCGTGCAGCTGCAATAGCTTATAAGGGAATCTTCGTTGTGTCCGTGCAATTGTGATAGCTACACAGATCTTCATCCTGTCCGTGCAGTCGCGATAGCTAAATGAAATCTTCATTGTGTCCGCACAGTTGCAATACCCATATGACACCGGGGTCGATTGTTGTCGGGAAGGCCACATCATTGCTCCCCACTCGCCTGGTCCACGTACTCTTCTCCCTTTAACTCCCCTCCCCTCCATCCACCCTTTCATGGCTCAGCGTCCTGGAAGCGACCGACTGCAAATGCCCCATACTTTGTAACTCTTAGCCAAGCACAGAAAGTGAGGGGACTTCAACATGAACGCTGTCACTCCTGGATTAGAATATATTTAGCCAGTCTTGTTGAAGAGAAGACGTGGCCTTACCTCTGTCAGTTGGTACACCCGTAAACTGTCAAAAGAATGCCGACGTGAGTTCTATTCCAAGGCAAAAAAGAAGAAAAAGGACGACGCGGCCTCACTGGAATGAGACAGACTGATGCTTGCTTCGTCTCCCCGTTCCTCAGCATCTACTCTTTTCTCTATCCTGTGGTGTCTTCAGTCCTGCCTCAGGAGTGACGATTCCACGCCACGCCTACCATCTTCTCACCTGATACCGTGTGATAGGGAGTGTGCTATGGTGACACTTACCTGTTGAGCGCTGTTGTTGACATTCACCAATTCCACCTAGGAGGTAATGAGCTACTCCTACAGCACGTCCTTGTACAATGCTCAAGGCCCTAGGCTGAATAGCAGGAGCAACTTTTAATAAGCTGGCGCTGACGAGTGCCAGGCCTGGAACTCATGTTGATTGAAGAAGACTTGTAACTCTATTCGGCGCTGAATATTATTTTTGAACTCACGATGTTCCCTCTTTTTTAATCTGGTGTCGATTAAATTGAGTTTCGCTTCCTGGTTCTGGTTCTCATTCATCTTCTACTGGCTTTGTGTGAGACATTGCAATCTGGGAAGTCTGTGTAAATAGATGCGTGCTTCCAAAATACAAAGTTGGACGAATCTGGAAACTTTAGGAAATCTACTTTATACCACTTATTTTTATTTATTTCTGGTTTCAAGTCTTATATTTTATTAGTGGCCATGATTGGAGCTATAGTACTTACCATGCATTACTCAGGTAAAAAGACAAAATATGATAGATCTGATGCACTCCAGCAAGTGTTGAGCAGTCAGGTTCCTTGCACTGGGCCTAGTGCCACCCCATAAAAGGGATGCTTTTTTTTTTTTT